ATCTCCGATGGACCGTCGGCAAGGTATGACCTTTTATCAGAGGGCCATTCACTGCCGATAGCTGCGTTCCCAAGGCGTGCCAGACACCTGTGATCGTAGGTTCGAACCAAACATTTGTCTTGAGCACGTTTTTACGTTTTTCAGCAGAAAACCCGTCCGCTTTGGTTTCATCGAGGGATCAAAGTGGGCTTTCGAGTTTGCCTCCAACCCCGAGAGCGTCAAAGAGCCGATAAACCACAATGAAGCCAATGACTGTAGGCTTTAGAAAGTCACTATAAAGAAGAGAATGAACAGACTGACAGAAGCTCAACGACACAACGCCCTTGGCATGACAATGCTCGACCTCACGATGCACATGTTAGACAGGTTTTCCTCCAGCAATACAATGTTCAGTTGGCCTTCTCGATCACCGGATTTGTCCCCCATTGAACATCTATGGGATACTCTCAAAAGCTCAACGACACAACGCCCTTGGCCGTTTACAAGGACGGACATCGCAGCATGCTGTGGCAAGGCACTTCAGCGTGTCCAGACAGACCATCTCAAACCTATGGACCCAGTGCAAAAGTACTGGGAGTGTTAATGACAGAGCCAGGTCAGGTCGACCTGGAGTTACCACCGCCGCCCAGGATCGCTACATCCGGTTGAGACATTTTCGTTCATACACCACGGCCGCATCATCCACAACAATCCAAATCCCTGGACTGCTCCGAAAACTCAGACCAGGCAGTGCGCAACTGGCTATGGAAAGCCAGACTTTTGGCTATGGAAAGCCAGACTTTTTGCCAGAAGACCAGTTCAACGTCACGTCGTTCCCTACATCAACGTGATCTTTGGAGCATGACAATGCTCGACCTAACGATGCACGTGTTGGACAGGTTTTCCTTCAGCAATACAATGTTCAGTTGTTACCTTTGCCTTCTCGATCACCGGATTTGTCCCGTACTGAACATCTATGGGATACTCTTGATCGACGCTTGCGCCAGCGTAATCCGTCACCTCAGACACTACAAGAACTGCACACAGCAATTCAGCAAGTGTATCAAAACATTCCTCAAGAGAGTATTCGGCATCTCCTTTCTTCTATGGGTCACCGCTGCCAAGCTGTTATCGATGCTCATGGTGGTCACACCAGATACTGACATTTTACTCTGACCAAGTGGCTTTAATAGCCCTCTGTGGTTTTACCAAACACTTTCTGGATAATCATGTTTTGGAAATTTGTAAAGTGATGCTTTTACTGTAACTGAGCATTGATGTCATGTTTGAATCAGTTATATGCACTCAGTAAGTAAACTCCAAAACAGCATGTCAAGTTTCTGGTTTTTAAGAGTATATAAAATGTCAATAGTAGTTTTAACTACAGACTGTACTAAAACCCTACGATTGTAATCGCAGCGTCAATGATAACGATAACCATGGCACAGCATGAACACCCTGATGTGTTGGAAACTGGGATGACCTCTGACAAATGCAATATAATGGTCAGATGAAACAATAGTGACCTCTGACAAATGCAATGTAAAAGTACAACTGAACGGCTCCGTGCACCACATGGAAACATCCCAGACGCTATGGGCCGCTGCAGGCATGAAGGCGACATTATTCAGGCTTTGAACTAAAGTAAGTCCAATCCGATTGACGGAAATCTAAAAATACCACACAACCTGGCCAGACTTCGCTTGTGTTTGATACAGCACCAGTAGCTGATAGAGTCACTGGTAACCAGTGGTCACGACTCATTATCTGATGGTTCTCAGATGTCTGGTTGGATGTGGTTAATGCAGAGTTAACACTAAATTGAACAACGGGCTCAGCGGTGGTTCACTATGTTAAATCCTTCAAGGATGGACAGTGAGTCTGAAGTGCGACAGGCGCCACAGTATGCGGCACATCTTCTGTGTTGACTTGGACGTTGCATTTAGCCCCCCGTATAAACAGACACTGTTGTTAGGTGGCAGTGTTATCATAGCGTTCTAATTGTACCACATTGTTACTTTTAAGATTCGGGGCGGTTGGGGTAGCCTAGTGGTTAAAGCGTTCGCTCGTCACGCCGAAGACCCGGGTTCGATTCCCCACATGGGTACAATGTGTGAAGCTCATTTCTGGTGTCCCCCGCCGTGATATTGCTGGAATATTGCTAAAAAGTGGCGTAAAACCATACTCACTCACTCACTTTTAAGATTCAGTTGAGGGTAGGGGTGTTCTAGTTTTGGACAGGAAATCAAGAATATTGTGGAGGCTCCTAGAGCAGCTGGGTTAATCCAGCTTAGGAAAGATAAATGTCTTTTGTTTGTATTGATACGTAGGCATTGGTATTTTTAATACAGTTGTTAATTGTATAACATTTCTTTTAAAACATTGAATTCTTTTACGTGCAGATTCCTTCATTAACTTGCTCTTCTAATTTGGGAATCGGCATATAACACTGTACTTACGCAAAGTAATTGTGATACTACATTATAAAACATAAACATTAGTTTTTGAATGACATGAAATAAAGCCACAATAACTCGGTGCGCCTAGTGGCTGCAAGAGTTGCATACTCCTCAGGGAGTTGAGATTGATAATACGATGTGCCGTTGAGATTGACATCCAATGGTCGAGGGAAAAAATACCAGTGCCTTGAGCATGAACTAGTTGCCTGGATATGTGCGCTATATAAATATTCTATAATAATAATAAAAATAACAAACCAATTTGCTTGAGCCTAGTCCCCCTTTAAATCGTAGGTGTGGAACGGCGTACATCTAATAGTAAGAATAGAATTGAAGTGGATTTAGTACATGTTGTTCCAAGTGTGTCAGCTGATGGAAGTGGATGAGTCTTTCAGAAATTTATTTCCTAACCCCTGCCATGCTTAGCTCACTGATTGCTTCTGTAAAAATTTGTCTCCTGGGTTTCTTTAAGGACAATGCCAGAGAATAAAACGTCTTCACTAGGCTGCATAAAAAGAATCCAAAAAAAGGCAAATAGTGATGTCTGTATTGAAAACCAGTGATGACATCCCGTGTTCGCTTGAAGGAAATATCTTGCCTGGCGCAGAAATCAAAATTTTGTTTTTGTTTTTTACTTCGATATTTTGGTGGAGCTATCGTTCCTGTAAAGGGGCGGTGGGTAGCCGAGTGGTTAAAGCTTTCGCTCGTCACGCGGAAGACCCAGGTTCGATTCCAAACATGGGTACAATGTGTGAAGCCCATTTCTGGTGTTCCCCACCGTGATATTGATGAAATATTGCTAATGTCGTGTAAATCTCACTTCCTGTCAAAGTCATAATTGGAAATGACTTACTTCTTACACACAAAGCCAACTTAAAGGGTTTATCCATTTCTTTCAGATATATTGCATCTGTATTGTGCGAGGGGCATGGGTAGTATCCATATATTGTTTCAAGGACTTGGTCTGGTGCATCTTTGACCCCATATTTGTCGATAGGATGCTGCAGGCAGACAAACACCTAAGAACTGTCATTAATATAATCTTTATATTGGCCATTCAATATAGAACACCTCCTTCTCGCCTATAGAAGAGTGGTTCAATACCAAACCTATCTTTTCATATCAAGTCCAATGAAATGTCATTTTCTATTGACGGATGATGGTGCGGCAGAAATCTGGAGGAATACAGATTCGATTGTTCTAATTACTACATTTTTATAGGAATTGCACCCTATAAAGGATGAAGACACCCTTGCAGAAAACATTTTACAGATCATGATCAGTGCTATGGTGTTCCTATGGAGGCTCGTAGAAGTGTTATATTTTACGGATTATCTATACTGTTAGTACTGAAGCTCACCTTCACTACACCATCCTCTTACAACCACTAGGTTTTCTAATCCTCACTGCTGAGTTGTCATGGCTTCAGCTCCATTCAATTCAGTAGGTGGCACCATATTGATTTGAACAGTATTTTGATTGATTGGTTGGTTGGTTGGTTGGTTTGTTGTTTAATACCACACTAGCAATATTCCAACTATATGGCGGCGGTCTGTAAATAATGGAGACTGGACCAGACAATCCAGTGATCAACAACATGAGCATCCATCTAGACAGTTGGGATATGATGACAACCAAGTAGGCAGTCTGACCACCCAATCTGTTAGTTGCGGTGTATGACAAGCATGGGTTACTGAAGATCAATCCGGATCTTCATGGGTCCAACAGTATTCCGAACATATCAAGGCATATTCACCCATAGTGGTGCAAGTATCAGTTGCCTGGACTGATCAAACCAAACGACCCATAAAGATCCGGGGTAGAATAGGTCTTCAGCAACCCATGCTTGCCACAAAAGGCGGCTATGCTTGTAGTGGTGGTGGATTTGGGTTTAAGGTCGTGCTTGAGAATATTTCGCTCATATGCATGTGCATGCTTGTGTATGTGTATGTGCGGCTGCTTGTACTAGCCCAGACTGAAGCTGGTTTTATAGTGCTAGCTCACTGAGATACCATGCCGCAGTGAAGCATGAATAGTGAAGCCCCACTCAGACACAGAATACTGACTCCAGCCGACCAGTCCTTGTTGTTGTATCCATTAATGCCGAGCACCAGGCAGGGACCAACAAGTACCATATTTTAACGTCTTTTGGTATGATGTGGTCGGGGATCGAACCCACAACCTTCCGCTCTCTGGGTGAAGATCCGGGGTAGAATAGGTCTTCAGCAACCCATGCTTACCACAAAAGGCTACTATGCTTGTCGTAAGAGGCGACTAACGGGATTGGGTGGTCAGGCTCCCTGACTTGGTAGACACATGTCATCGGTTTCCAATTTCGCAGATCAATGCTCATGCTGTTGATCACTGGATTGTCTTGTCCAGAATTGATTATTACAGACCGCCACCATATATATAGCTGGAATATTGCTGAGTGTGGCGTAAAACTAAACCCACTCACTCAAACCAAACATGGTCAAGAATGTAGTCCTTGATGCTAAACATCCTGTACATGTACACTATCTGTATCTCTAAATCAAGGAAAAAAGTACTCAAGACAGTAACTTTGCTTCATAACAAACATTTTATTGAGGACCAAAATGTACAGATGATTTGCATAAACCACTCAATCTCTCCACTCAGAAAACTAATAACAATCTGTATGAAATGCCTGCATCCTCTCACACATTCACTCACTCACTCACTCACAGGTGTAAAACGATGGTCTTGCTGCACTGAAGCTTGCATATGATTATGTCCCATGGCCCCTACAACCACCCACTGACCAGTGCTCAAGTCATGGGGAGAAACCCACGTATTCCCCTGTCAATATAAGTCTGTATGGCATATTGGTGCACCTCCCATTATAGCGCCAAGTGTATTATAAAGAAGTTGACAATTCTTTCACATTACTACATTTCATCATGGGCAGAAAAACGATAGTGATATGAAAGAATTAGCTGTTCCTGAACTTATTTGAGAACTAATATCCTGTCTGTTATAATTAACACCTGGACCTGTTTAACATCACAGCTTGTTGGAATGACAGAATGCCAAAAATAGACATCCAATCAACTTCCACTGTGTTGTGCTTGAACCAAGGAGTGATATCTCCACCTTGGCATGCCATGTCAAATACAACCAGAATGTCTGGTAGCAATGTCTCTCCCTTGTTCTAGTTCTCAGGAAACTATTTTTTCTAGCAGACATTTGCTCAGTTCAGTCTTCAGATTTGATAAATTTTTCTACTCATTTGAAAAGAATAGTGAGTCCTTTTTAACTGTAAAGAATCTGAGATTGTGAATTAACTATAGTCATAGGGAAACAATCAAGTGTTCTTTAACTTCGTTTTGAGTAGGCTAGATAACATCTTGCTCATATTAGTCCAGTTTGTAACTGCAATCTATGGTAAACTTGTCCAAAGTGGCATTTTGAGGGACAGAAATTCTGTTATGACCGTGACGAGAGATTGAGCTGGCCAAGGTGCTAAATGGATCCAGAATGTATATTATAATGGAAAGGAAAATATTACCCTATATTATCGAGGATGATACCCATGACCTATGAGCCGATTTGTACCCAGAAATGAAACTGTTTCTGCTCATAGTCTTTGCTCAGGTAATGTCATAGGGATGAATCCTCGTGCTAAATCCTGGACAACACTATTTCAGTGTCAAGTTAAATGTTGTATATTTTAACCTTAAAGAATTGCCAGAAATAGTTAACATTTCAACCTAATCAGTAAATCTGTGTTACTGCAGATTTAAAATTAATGCTCTTTAGGTGAATAGTTTTATCAGATGATGAACGGTTATATTAACAAAGTAACCTCATCCTCTGGCTTCCAGATCAATTGACTGAACAATCAGCCCAGTGATGAAAACATTACTACTCGCGTTGGGTATTTGGTACTGTGTACATTTTACTCCCAAGGGTCCAGCCTTATGGGTACTTTAAACCAAGCAGACATTTTACAAAAACTTCTTAAAATGCTGTTTCAGTTAACTATTCTTTCATGTGCTGCCCAAAATGAGTCTGTCATAGAAGCTCACAACATGGATACAGGTCAGATAAACTAAGTGAGAGGCAGCACTTTTGTGCATTATTCGCTGCAGTAGAATTCATATAAGGATGATGCCTGTATGTGATCCATAAATAAAGATGAGTTAAGATATTCAGGGAGGCAAACTGAAAAGGTTACATCAGCAACCATATAAATATTATATGGTCTCTGGCTAAATCGAATAATTACATATAATTTTGTTGTGCTTGATTTTGAACTTTTTCACTCGTATTTGTTTACAACTTGAATTTGCAAAGGTTACTGTGATATATTCACATATTTTAAGCAAAAAATGTGCTTATGAACCGGAACTTGGCAGTCACAAATGGCCCTGAACCTGCCCTGCAGCCAATACTTCACCATTATTGTCATCAACCTCTTCCCGATTCCAGCCTCAACTTGCAAAGTGTGGAATGATAAGGATATATGTGGAATACATTCAATCTCATTCCTGGTTCTGTATTTCAGGCTTGTTATCGACCTCAGACTAAAGAAACAGTTCCCCATAACTTGAGCAGTCACAGTGCCTGAATATGCGATTTGTTCGATGAAATAATTCTCCATATTTTGGCAGCTCTCTGGCCATGTGAGGTGAGCCTCGTGGTGTTTATATTAGCAGTGACAGTTTGGCCCCTACACATACACATGGTTGTTCATTATTGACAATTAGTTATAAAACTACAAGTATAAAATATTTGTCTGGAATCACAATTGTGTATATTACATTTTCGCATATAAACACACAGACTCTGTGATTGTGTTATCTTTCATCGCTCGTCACAGAAACTGGGTATATGGAAGGATGGGATGAGCCACAAAAACATAGCAGAGTCACTTGCAGTCACATATTGCCACACATTTTTCTATAACTTTGTTTATGAATCTGCCGACTCTGAAAAATGAAAAGAAGAATATCTTTACATTCCGTCAACAAGAAAAAAATAAAATGTTAAAAACACCCCACATGTACTATCAAAACTTCCTGCTAAAATTAAAAGTGGATTTAATTAATGTGGAATTAAAACCTTGGAAATTTCAAAACACATGGAATCCTATGCTCATGTTCCCCTCTACCTACTTCACATTTTGTTGAAATAGAATAATGCATTTGACATGTATGTTTTTGTCATCAACCTATAGACATTTCTGAAGCCAAAAATCCGTAATCTGTGTTTCTGAATCTTCAGACTGCTATGGTCACTTTTCTGCATTCACTACAGGGCATAGGTAAAACCATATAAAGAGAAGCTATTGTATTTATATGACTTATTTAAAGAAAATGGTTGGTATATACAAATATAATATATATTTTCTGATATTTCCCAAACAATACAACCCACATTGACAACTGTTGCAAAAAATAATGCCCTGATTTGAAAAATAACAAAAAAACATTGCTGTCATTAGTAAAAGCTTTACAAAATAAATCTTTGGAATGGACATATAAAATGCAGAACTGGAAATAAACTTGAACTTAATATGAAATAAAAACCCTTCAGAGTTTGCTATAAGCAAAAATCTTTTTGTTCTGTGGCCTCAACAATGACACTGAAGAACTTTAAACTTCTTCTGCAATGTTATTTTAGTTTTAACACTCATTGCAATGAGACCCTGTGTTTTGCAGTTTGAAATGTAACCAACCCTTAATGTTTTCACCAGTATGATTTCTGGTTTATACACTACACACATTTTGATAAGGATAATCTTATATGTCATTCTATTTAAATAGACACTGGACAATATCTCCATCAAAAGTGTAACAGATAACTATACAATGAAAAGGTTTCTGACAACCTCCAAGTATTTTAAATCTTACAAATTTGTGTATGGTTCTGGTGACTTCTCATGATTTTCATTGCCATTACAATTAGCTTATTTTAAAAAATTGATTTTTTTCCCAGATTTCTGAGATATAGACATCTGTTTTTGTAAATAGAGAGAACACAATAAATTGGGCGTGACTTTGCTGTCCTTCTGTGGCAAATCCTGAATAAACTGTATCACAGAAGTCTATTAATGGCACACTCTCGCACACATGAACATGGCTTGTATGTCACATAACATTATGCATTGTGCAAACTGATGATTAGGCGTTTTGCTGGTGCTTGACATCATAGAAATTCTCTGTACAAGTTCACAAAGCACCACAATCGGCCTTCGATTCTTCCATAATGTCATGGAGTATGATTGATATAAAACCTGTCTTGCCTAGTCTAGTTAACCTAAAGGACACACATCGATCTGGCTAGTGTAAAAACCATAAAAAATTAACATTTCTTTACTGTGGACATCCGGATGAGATTATTGTCGTTTGAGTGATCACACACACACAAAGTGAAATTAAACGGAGTTAAGAAAATTACACTTGCATGCAGATATGAAAATAACAGAACTTGTGATCACAGTTGTGAAGATAATAGTATATTCCATCACACAGGTGATATATAGAGAGCCACCTGATGTACATATATTCATAGCACTTATAATGTATCACAAATCTCAGATAAACATAAACAAGTCAGACAGGGAATCTGGCAATCAAAAATCTGTAAAAGCTGTGGTTCATACAAAACTATAATTTATTATTTTTTAAATAACTGCTGATAAGTTAGATATAAGAAAACTGAAACTGTGTTAGTTTCTTGAATAAATTGCAAGGGGACTGAACTGTCTCCCATATAAAACTTTACAACTTTAAGGTATCCTGAACTATGATCAAAAGAAAACCTACATAAAAATTGTTATTAAGCTAAAAAATGGACAATTTTGATTAAATTCCGAGATCAATTTTATATCAAAAATAATTTGGCCTATTTGATCCATCATGAAGTTAGAGTTATTTCTCTCTGGTGATTATAATCTCATTATCTAGTAATCCGATATGAAGAAACATAGATTCAACATTAGACAGATAAAAAAACAAACCAAAACCAACATAAGTATAAATAAAATAATAATCCGTGATCTGAGTATTAAGCAAATAATAACACTTATGCAGAAAATAGCCTTGTTACTTGGTGAGGATAAGGAGTTATCTCCTGGTGTCTTGAGAGTAATCTCCCTTTGGTGAAATCTAGAATGTTGCAAGAGCCTTGAAACAAAGCTGGACAATTCACAGGGAAACATTTCACAGAACAATTAATACATGTGCTCTTATGAAATCTGGAAGAATTTTAATACAGTTTCCTGAACTATAAAATATATATATTTTAGTATTTGTGAATTTAGGCACAAGTATTAGCATCACGTCTGATTTCATCTTAAATATTTTGGCTGTTCGTGAATATGAACAAATAGAAAGATATTTTGATAGAATTCCGGGTAAAAAGTGTCACTTACATGAACAATGCAATTTCATCTTGAAAACAACAAGTTCACTTGAAACCATAGCAATGTTCAAACTGGTTTGATATCTACATTGATATTCCAAAATAGGTTGTAAATCTTCTTACTTAGCACTAGTTGACATAAGGCAATTTTGGCATTGATTTTTGTGGATTGACTTTGACGACCTGAATTTGTTCATTCTGAAAAAAGAAACACTCAAGAAAAATAGAATTGCAGATTCTTACTTTAAAACTGAAAAAAGTGTTTTCCAATGGGAGCTGAATGATGTGTACATATTCACTAACATACCCATGTTACTAATTTTGAAAAGTTAAAAAACCTAGTATTTAGCATAGGACATCCTGCTTCCATATTGCTTAGCAATCTTCAACTTGAATGATGCTTTGCACCAAATATAAAGTGTCCTTCAACACACTCTAGACATCTGTATATCTTGCCATCAGTTTCGCTAGCAGCTCCATATACCAAACATCCACATATTAGCAACCATTTTTCCACAAGGAGGGAGCGTGGCATTGGACATGTTGAAATTTCCCCAAGCTGACGTAACGTGATCCGACATGGCAATCGGAAAACAAGGGAAAGCACTCTGCAAGTTAGATCCAGTCCATTAGTTCAGTGACCACTTAACATCCAAGAACCGGTATCCAGAACAGTCAGGGCATTGTGAGATGATTCCATAGCATGCACTTCCATCATGAAGAGACCATGTCTTTTGTTCTTGAAGTTCTCTTGAATGTTTCACATATATTTTCTCATAAAATCTATGCGCAAACCCTCACTTGGAGTGTTGAGAATGCATCTCCCTGTACAACAGTAAGTCAAGCTTCACAGGAGGACCAGATATGCACTTGTGGAGAACAGTTCAACTCTCCTCCTCCTCTTCTTCCCAACAGATGGCATGAAGAGGAGGACTTTATTTCCCAGACTAAGGAAAGCCCAGGGCCGTCCTGCCCAATGAGAAGCACAATCTGGTGTCACTGGTCTGAGAAAAACTATCCTCTTTTGTCATTGAGTAAGAAGACCAAGAATCTGTCCTTCTGAGGTTGTGTCAAGTTACGTCTTCAAGACTGAGACCAACTTGAAATCTGATATTCCTAGGAATCTTTTCTTCAACTGTATTTAATGTTGAGAACTTCAATGCACAGGCACTCAGTGTAATTATGAAGATATTATTGTTGACAGCACCACTGGTCACACAGCTTGCCAAACGGCATTGATTAACAAATCCTGATGACCCCCACTTCAAACAAGCTATGGGGACCATGACAACCTGAGGTTTAATGTCAAGATTTAAGCTTCTATCTGTTGATTTGCAGTTTATCATGGCTACATGCTTTGTCTGAACAGACTAGTTGTTCCAGGATGAGCCATACACACATGAGGACAGTCTGCAGCAACATCATCAGGTCCTAGCTCAGCCATTCTTTTTCCACTGATCACACTCTACCAAAGGATGGCCTATGGCACAACAACTTATGGTTCCAGCAAAGCCATTCTGTTTTAACTTCTCACATAACAGCCAAGGTTGGCCTCTGGCAAACAACTGCATGAGGTTCCACCTGTTTCCACTGATCACAATAACCAAGGTCGGCCTCCAACAACTTCTTGAGGTTCCAGCACAGCCATTCTGTTTCCACTGATCAGCCAATATCAGCAGGACAGCCCACCTTTCTCATCTGAAGCTGCCTGAAATGAGAAACAGTTCATAAGCACAGGAAGATTGTTGCTAGGGACAAGGAATAAAACTATCCAATCTCATGTCACAAGTATCATCTTTGATTACTTCTCTTTCAAACTAGCAACATGTACCTGACAAGTAAGGTGTCTTGTAATTTGCCCAACCTAACACAATAAGTAGTTTAGTTGTTTTCCTAATATGTAAATTTCAACAGTTTCAGGACCTTGTTGATGGACTTGTTGAAAGTTTGAAATGTACTCTACAAACAATGTCCCCCAAAGTTTCATGATCCCCAACTATTTTCTTCCAAGACACTTCCACCAGGACAGTAGAAATGGCAGATGCTCAGAAATATATTTTAACATAAATATCAAACTATGTCGCATCCTTAAAGGAAAAGGTGTGTATAGCTGCTCTAAATGCTGTAACAAGACATAGCTGAATATGAGGCCCTACAAGAGTAGTCAAGTAGATTTCAAAAGGGTTCCAGAACATCAAAGCCAACCCATAATATCTGTCACCATACTCAACCATGAGAATGAAGGAGTGCACCAAAAATACCCTCAACATGCTATAACGGACATCTGACATAACCATTGGTTTGAGTGGAGCTGTTAACTGACACTTTGTTCACAGCAGCTGCTTTGATTTAATGTGATAAAATTATCTCCATCGCACTGCCACTGTTAGACATAGGACCAAACTAATTTTCTTGCATTACATGATTCCCACCTACGACTTGTAAACGTAACAGGAAAAAGTCTGTTTGAAAGAACATATGCTGTACATCTCAGACAAATTTGTATTTTCCAACTGAGTGAGTGAGCAAGTTTAAAGCCACTTTTGACAGTATTTCAATTATATCATGCTTGATAATGAAGCATACAACTTTATAGACAAAAACATCTTGTTTATCGCACAGAGCAACATTTCAGTGTACATTCTTACATGGTTATCAAGTTAAAAGTGACTACAACCAACTGAGAAGTACAAATGTTATGTAGATATTTGCCTCTTTTAAGAAACAACCATGGGTATGGTGCTGAAAGCCTAGAAACATAACAGGGATGAACCAGAATTCAACCACCAATATAGATTTCTGGCGCAACCAAGGGACACACAATGGTGACCTTGACCCTGTTTTTTTTTCAAAGGAAGTGAATCGACAACATTTCCTATCTTGGATCTTGTGTTCGGTAGGATACAAGAAAATCTGTACAAAATGAATTCATCTGACCTGAGGAGGGTCAAGATTATCCCATATATTTTGAAACGGCAGAACAATCCATTGTGCAGTAGAAACCTCTTACAATAGTTACAATACCATGTAACCTATTCTTGGAATACAGTCTTGTACAAAAGTAGCTCTGCAAAGGGAATTCAAGCATTCATTCGTGAATGAGTAGGAATTAACAAAGATGGTGTTTCAGTCATCCAGAACAGATCTTGGAACCTATGAGCTAAGGGTTCATTCGCAACTAATGGATGCAACTCTGACTGACTGAGTTTGGTTTTAAGCCGCTTTTAGCAATATTCCAGCAACATCACGGCGAGGGACACCAGAAATGGGCTTCACACATTGTACCCATGTGGGGATTCGAACCCGGGTCTTCGGCGTGACGAGCCAACGCTTTAACCACTAGGCTACCCCACCGCCCCGGATGCAACTCTGATTAGTGAATAAAAGTAGTGATTGATAACTGAGCATCATCTGCCCAATGTCCCTTCAATCACTTCATGCATTTATTTACCCAACATGATTATTAGAATTCTCAGTAAGTTTCCACTTGTGACAGTTTATAATTTAGACATTTTCATTTCCCCACAAAATACATTCTTCACTAAAAAATATCATCAGAGACCATATAATAAGAAACATCTCATCATATGGTGCCTGGTATCCGATACGCCAACATACTGAATACTGCCACTGTGTCAATGTACCAGCTGACATTTATTGACCTATTTTTTTATATAATGATGTGACATCTTGGACCATTGTTCACACGTTTCATTCATATGTAACAGTTGCTGCCAGCTACAATATTTGCATTCATGCAATTATACTTTCATGTGAAGTGAGGATCAGATGGAGATGTCGATCCCTGGGACAGGTCACTAGGTGCTGGAGACTCAGGATTGAAACATGCTTAAAGTAGTAAGTGAGTTTAGTTTCACACCGCTTTTAGCAATACTAGTATTCCAGCAATATCACAGCGGTGATACCAGAAATGTGCTTCACACATTGTACCCATGGGAGAATTAAACCCGAATCTTTGGCGTGATGAGCCTGACCACCCGATCCCGTTAGTCGCCTTTTGCAACAAGCACGTATTGGTTGCTGAAGACCAATTCTTCACTGCATCGTCACGGGATTAGTTACTGTATTTATGCGAAGCAGTGTTGTAGTACAGACTGATACTGGTGGTATACCTATATGACATCTGACATTTAGGAAGGCTAATGGTACAAGATACTGCAGACAGGATTAACAAAGAAAGCTATACAGCAACTATAGCATCTGGCTGTTAGATATGGCAATTAACTGACTACAGAGTAGACATTGTGATGGTATGACTACAAGCAATTTAACCTTTATTACTAAGTGCTTCTCGAACAAAGGCTGTCATGATTTTTCATTCACTGATGAGAGCAGAAGAATCTAACTAAATATGCTGCTGGAAATAAGAGCTCAGTTCAGGCCCACAGACTATCGTTTTGGCCATGAAGAATAATTTCCAATAAAGAAGTAATGGTTGACATTTTGGGCTTAATATTTTATGTCTGTTTCACTCACTATTGTTAGCCGTGTTCCAAAAACATTAGATATAGGGAAAGGTAGATATGTGTGTATTTACATGTTGGTAATAAGTAAGCAATATCCATATTGACATTGGTCTTACCGACAGTTATATATGTAAAACCAACCAGTGAAACTGTAGGTGTAATGGCCGACACACCAAGGAAAGGTAACTCTTGTACATCCTCTTCCAAATGCCAGATCCAGGTTTTGTTCAATATAGGCATTATCTCCTATGATTAACTGACCTGTTTTCCATGACAAAAAATCAATAATTCTGGAACAAATTTAAGCACTGATCTTCCGGCTTTTCATAAACAGGCACTATATGCCATCAGAATTCTAATAGCAATCGATGCCAGTCTTTCCGAAATAATGTCAAGATCTCATTATCGACTGTTTCCTTCCCAGGTTTACTAACAATATTACTAATATATTAAAAAAAAAAAGTGTTCAATTATTGTAATAAAACACAATAAAAAGGAACCCAGATACTCACTTAATCTGAAACTGCAGTAATCAAGGTTTGCCAACTACTATAAGAGATGACTAACATAGGATATATTGGTCATATTTGTTTCACGGTCTGTATGTCAGACTACTTTCCAATGTTCATCAGCTGGCAACTTGCCAATCCGGCAGCTTCAGTGTTGAAGAGGGAGCAAACAGATGAGGAAGGGGGGAAGAGGATGGGGCAAGGAGGAGGTACCCCCTGGACTGGTGAGGTGCTATTTCGGTCCTCATCTTACACGCTTTACACACAATTTGACTTTTGTCTTGAAGAGTGAGTCAAGATCAAAGCGCCAGGTTACATGGTACATATAAGTCTCAAGTTCCTACATCCAGACACAACAGTTTAAAAAGAGATTCTTCGATCCTCAAATTTACAAAATAAACACTTTATAAATACGCATCCCCCCCAAGAGAGACAAGAAATGGAAGTTCCACAGAGGATACCAATGTAGTCCAGCACTCCATGCAGATTCATTTGATGTGTTATGACAGAAGGGGTTTGTAACACCTCTCATGCCTAAACATGCCTGCTTTATATCGTCTTATCACCCACGTCCACTTCCCCTTCCCTGTATTCCTGTCTTTGGCTAACATCTTATCATATATCTGTGGAACTGCTTAATGAAAAACTGTAATATAGCAGAATTTCCTGTGTAAGTCAAGTCCGGCCATCACATGTGTAGGCGTGTGTTTATTTAATATGTTATCAATACTAGATCATACACATCAATATCCAAGCTTTAATGTCAACAACCAAGCTTTTATGTCAATATCCAAGCTTTTATGTCAATCAATGATAACAAAACTCAACCAGAAAACACCTTAATGATACCGACATGTTTTCATGTACGAACCATGCCTGTTTCAAATTATTCTAAAACATTGAAAATCTACTGATTCGAGAGCTTTCTCTGTATTAAACCATGTTATGGTTAGACATAATTTCTCAATAATTATAAACTATGATTTGTAGTCGTTATTCTTAAAAAATGGACTGTGAATTTCCGTCTCAGGATAACTGCAAGAATAGCAATATAATAGTTTACAATGGAAAAGCATATTAAAGATGACATCTTTATACAATGAAACCCAGAAAGAATTGACACTGAGTAAACAGTGAAGGATTAAATCTCTTTCAACTGGACATTGTACAAAATGTAACTGTCTCAATTTAAATGACAAACCTGTTATTTGCATGTATCGTTAATGAATTGATGTGAAACAAATAAAACTGAACACACAAGCCTCGCTGTTGACAATCAGAACATTTACCCATAATTCACCCTGATTTCTGTATCACAATCCTAAACTTGTCCGATTTCCTTGCTATAATTTGACAGACACACATAATGATTAAACACTTCCTCAGACACCATGTGGTGATCGTAAGTCAATCCAACTGACCGCATGACGTGTGTGACAGTGGGCAAACAAGCAAAGGTCAGTGTGGAGGAGTTGTCCGACTGATGTGATTACAATGTCAATACTACATCCAGGAGGTTCTCCATGATGTCTGCAACTACAATCATAGTACTGCCGACTTCCAACATAAAACAACTTGTCAAGAGGCAATAAAACTTTAATGACAGCTGCACGAATGAAACCGTTTTAGAAATGTGGAACGCAGTGAATACAGAAAAGTTACCATAATCAATTTGGAACATCAGGATGAAGAAATTTGATAGATTACCAATAACCCGTCTGAAAAATCACTCCAAAGTTTTTAAATGATTCATCAAGTAACCGCCCAAATGTCTCTTCAAACCTGATTTTTATTCCAAGGTTTCAGGACTAGCTTGAGAGGTTGTCAAGGAGGGTGGAAGACCTCGGCAGACTTTACATGTGTGATACTGAAGCTGGGATATCTGTACACGGTTTATCTCAATTACCTCGAATCTTTCGCCAAACATCCTCCTCCCTCCATCTTCAGAACAGAGAGCTTGTGGTACTGACAGAGAACCATTAAGTTCTATTTACTCATCAATTTACCAGCAAATACTATGATGGAAGGGAAGGGAAACCTACAAGCTATTTCACAAAGAGGGACACAGACATAAAATCGACATGGACTCTAAATTAGTCTTTCTCTTGAGATTCCTTTACCACATCTCCGGACTGATGTTTTGCTCACTGCTGAGGCAAGACATTGAGCAATCTCATGGTGTATCTATGACGTCAGTGCGACCTATTGAAGTAAACATTTTCTATCCTGCCGACCTGGCAAATACACACGGGTTCTGGATCAGGAAATTGCCAAGTACTTGTTGTTTGGAAAAGACATTCTGGGATCATGTTAACCCGGCTTGAAAAAAGTATCGAGAGCCAATAACATCATATTACCTGATTCTAATTGGGATGAAGTTCAATCTCTACAAAATCTAATTTTCTGTCTGGTGTTAAAGATTGATAGTTTTGTAAAAAACAATCAATTCTACGTTAACCTGTTATATGTGGATTCCAAAGTCTTATAACATAATAACTGTTTTTGCTTTCTGAACACAAAAATCTATTTGGTGAAGTGTTTTTTCTCAATCAATACCCACAAACAAGTGGGAGAACAGCTTCAGAAGTGTTAGAAAGTTTGCTGCTCTTTCAAACAATTTCTGAACTGGACAAGCAAGGGATTATAAACATGCAATTTCAGAAGTGTTGAAGTTGGCTTCACCTTCAAACAATATCTGAGTTGGACACCGCAAGAATAAGCTTATAACCATGCATGGTGAGTGAATTTAGTTTAACGCCGCTTTTAGCAATATTCCAGCAATATCATGGCGGGGACACCAGAAATGGGCTTCACACATTGTACCCATGTGGGGAATGGAACCCAGGCCTTTGGCGTGACAAAAAACTGGCTTTAACCACTAGGCTACCCCACCGCCCCTAACCATGCATGGAATCAAACCCAATTCTCATCATGATAAGAGAACACAGCAGCCACCAGGCTACCCAATCATCCAAGACAGACAATGAACATACTCAGTACAAACTGTGTCAATGTTTATCAGAATAATCCTAAACCAAAATTGATAACATCAATGCAGATGCAATCAGGTTTAATATCACTGCCTCATTAGCTGGTTGAGAACACAATGCTTGTCATGTTTCATTTTGTGATTGGCAATCTGATGATATTTAAAAATATGTTAAATCACCCAACCACTCCAAGGTTGCTTTAAAGAAGCCAACGATAGCTGAGTATTATTTTTTTCTTAACTGATTGTCTGTTTCCAAGAAATCTAACACACAAATCTTGTTCTGAAAACAATAAACCATTACTTTCTTTAGTTGTACACGACATGATGGACTGTCAACAAAATCAGATCATTCAAACAATGCCTGACCCAGCTGTCACTTGATCCTTGGGGCTACAACAAGCAGCTTCATGCAGAGAAGACATGGATATAACTGGAGAGGTTCAGACTCAAATTTGATTTCAAATGCTTTTATGTCTAATAGCGAGAGAAGTGAGGCGAATTGGGGTTTGACACCTTGTTCAAGATTATCATACTAATATAGCGATGTGTCTGTTTGTATGTATTTGCTTGTACTAATCAAGACTAATGCCAGTTTTATAGTGCTACCCCACTGAGATACCATGCTGCTGTTTAACATGGACACACAGTAAACTCGGACACCATTTACTAATTCCATTCTGTTCAGTACTAATTTGATCCCACTAATGTCACGCGCAAGTACTGTCTTGTTACATTTTAGTATGACTTCACTTGGGACTGAACCACAGACTTTCCACTCTCTGGCTGGTGCTCTGTCAACTACACCATGGAGGCTGTCCCATAAACTGTGCGTAAGCTAGGAATCCAACTGGGTCATCAACGTGACTGAAGGATCTTACTCATGTACATGGTATCCAGGACAATGAGGTAGAGTGAGTGAGTTTAGTTTTATGCCGCTTTTAGCAAGATTCCTGCAATGTCATGGCGGGGGACACCAGAAATGGGCTTCATACATTGTAGCCATGTGGGGAATGGAACCCGGGTCTTCAGCTTGACGAGTGAATGATTAAACCACTAGGCTACCCCACCGTCCCAATGAGGAAGAGGAAGGATGGGTATCCAATAGTTTTAGGTAGCACAGTTTGCCCATTCGTGACAGGAACTGTCTTGCATCTGAAACATAGATTTCTATTATTCCTACACATCTATTATCCCAAGATTACCATTTTCCTTGCCGTGTCTGTGCCATGCACATGGCGTTATCTTCCCCTTAGTGGGAAATATCATCCGCCTGCATCAGTTTGAATGCATTCGAAGAATTACACAAAGTGGTGATTAACCCAGTTCACTTACTCCACATCTTAACAAAAGCAGTATATGAACTTCCTCCATATATATGATTTGGGTGATGAGTAGCATTCATCCACAAGAGTATTGCTATGATAAACGATCAGCTGCCTGTGTAACACACCTACTCCGGTCAACAGAGGACATGATGCTGTACTACATCGAGATATTGATCAGATCTGTGAGGCAAGACGAGATGAAATAAACTGGATGCCTGGGGATCCGTGATGTGGACATTACGGATCAAGCATGTTCGGGAACCTGAGACTGGGGAGGTCCTGACACCTGAGGCTGCAATGGTTCCGACACCTGGGACAGGGGAGGTTTGGACACCTGGGACTGGAGAGATTCTGACACATAAGACCAAAGAGTTGTTAACACCTAAGATTAAACAAGGTCTGACACCTGAGTCTGGGAGGTGCTTAGACCTGGAGGTTTGGACAGGTGAAACTTAGGAGGTTTGGACGCCTGAGACTGGAGAGGTTCAGACGCATATGAATGAAGAGTTTTTAACATCTAAGACTAAGTTCTGCCACTTGAGGATGTGGTGGTTCCAACACTTGGGACTGTTTGTTCAGAGAGCTCAGACTGAACATGTGACACTTCAGACTGAAAAGTTTCAGACACCCAAGCCTGGGGACAATCTGATTCCTGAGACTGTGGAGGTTTTGACACCAAAGACTGATCAAGTTTGGACACTTGAGGCTGATCAAGTGTGGACACTTGAGACTGTGGAGGTTCTGACACTTGGGACTGCAAAGGTTCAGACTGCCAAAGTGAAGACTCCCTGAGATTGAAAAACTTCTCACACTAGGAAAGTTCTGACACCTGACACTGGGACAGTTCAGACACCTGAGACAGAAGAGGTTCAGAAACCTGAGACAGAGGAGTTTGTTGACTGTGGAGGACATACTTCATGACTCAGGCAGTACTTCACCAACAGTACCAGTCTCCAAGTCTCCAAGTACAAGTGAACCCAGTCACTGACAACAAGAACATCACAGCCAATCAAGGAAACGTTTCCTGTACATTGGTCTGATATATTATCATAATGATATAAACATACAACATCCATCAGCTTCTTCAAGTTCAGCTGGTCCAGGATAGCTGATGCAACACGCTTGGCTAGACGAGTGCTAGGTCATAGATTCCCCCTTCGTACATGCCTCATATTTTTTTAATCAGTCTGATGTTAAATGCACTACCACCATCACCATCACCCATTGGGAAGTTATCATCGGGTGGCTTTATCTCAGAAATATCAATCCGCCATCTTTGTTTATCGGTATTTGGATTGGCAAAATTGATTTATAAAACCACACTGATTATTCCAATATTGAAAACATTAGTCATGAATTCTCATAACTCTAAAAACTATTCATTTTTTGTTGTTGGAAAGTCTTGAAAATGGTCAGGAAATAATGAATATCACCGAATTCAGTGGATCACCATAACCTTTGACATTACCAGTAGTCAAATACCTGGATTATCTGTTAATAACTACCCTGAGATGACAGTCTATCACATTTCCAATTCAAAGCCAGTCCAAGGAAAATAGGAATCCATTTGTGAGTTGAAATATCGATCTTCCATCAACAGCAATGAATTCATGGGCAAATGTGTGGAATGAATAACAGTGTGTGTGTGACACGGTATGTCCAATCGTGAATGTTGTTTCATTACTGTGATATCATGACGACACATCACATATTATCTCAGTAACAGACTAACATCTAGTCTCTGAAATAAACAGATTTTGAAGGGGAAAAAAATCATAAAAAATAATAATATAATATAATGAAAAGGAGCCCAGAGACTTTCTTCATTTTCAGAAACTGTTGAAATCTGGACTTGACACATATTCCAGACATGCATGGGTTTTCTTGGACATATTTGTTTAAGAGGCTGTATGACAGACCATCCGGGAAATTATTGCACCTAATTTGCATTTCTCTTACATCAATGTGATCCATTTCCTAATTAAAATTATTTATGATATGGATATGAATAATCTGACAAAAGTGGCCTGTATGATACATACAGCAATACAAATATTACAAAAGGTCAATTAGTCTGTCTTCTTTGAATCTCCACTTTTGGGTTACTTCTATCAATTACGGTTTGTCACAGAAACCAACTAACAGGATCAGGTGGCCAGGCTTGGTGACATCATTACACACTGATGGTTTGCATTGTCTGTCATAATATCAATCACAGGATTGCCTTGCCCAAACTTCAAGGTGGCCATCATAGAGCTGGACTCAAACTGAGAGTGGTGTAAACCACAAGCAAGACATGGTGGCCGAGCAGTCCAAGGTGTTGGGTTCTTAGCTGCTTGGGTTGTTGTGCCGGGACTGGAGTGAGTGAGTGAGGAAGTATGGTTTTACGACGCTTTTAGCAATATTCCAGCAATATCACAGTAGGGACACCAGAAATGGGCATAACACATTGCACCCATGTGGGGAGTTGAACCTGGGTCTTCTGCGTGCTGAGCAAACTCTTTAACCACTAGGCTACCCCACCGCCCCTTTTTTCCTACAGAGCTTGAGTGAGATATTAATGTTAAACTGTAAGACTTGAACAAGAAGACACACGTAAACCCAAATACATGCATGCAAGCACACACACATGCATGGACGCCCACATGCAAGCACACGCACATGCATGGGCACCCACATGCAAGCATACACACACCCACACCCACACGGACACCCACATGCAAATGCACACACATGCATGGACGCCCACATGCAAGCACACACACACACACACACACATGCATGGACACCCACATGCAAATGCACACACATGAATGGGCGCCCACATGCAAGTGCACACACATGCATTGGCGCCCACCTGGACACATGCACTATTACATGAGCTGACAGATCAATGCAAGTTCACACAGCGACCAGCAGCAGCAACAGCAGCAGCTATTGGGCCAACTGATCCCTTCATAGCAACAAAAGACCCTTACAAAACAAAATATGTTGAAAAGATGTAATCAGTTTCCTGATGAGAGATATGAAAGCTGCCATGTTGGAA